CCCCCCCCCCCCCCCCATGACATTCTGGCCCCCTTGCTGCAAAAGCTTACCGTTAGCACTGTTTCAGGCACTTTCATCATTCTCCTAATATTTGTCACACATCTAGGGAACATTTAGATGTGCTCCAAAGTGTTCGGTGTTGGATCCGAGCCAATTAATCAAGTCTGTAAACAAGCTTTAGTTAAAGCACCCCCACCGCCATTTTGAAACGTGGGACACTGAATACACAAGAAGCTGCGTGTATTTTAATTAGAGAAGCTCCTGACTTTCAGGAGCTGCTCTAATTAAAATTCATCCTATTCCCCACCCCTACCCTGGAGCACGTGTACAGCTGCCCCTAGTGATTCAGCTTGGCAGAGTTAAACTTTTGGACATTATTTTAAATGATGTCATTTAATAGAACCTGGAAAGTCCTCTTCAGACACCAAAAATAATACGTTTAATTTGCAGTTCTTTCTCTTTTCTTATTGCAGTGCCTGGAAGTAATGAGCCGTTCATGACCCCTGGACAGATGCCCAACAGTGGAATACAGGACATGTATAACCAGACGCCATCTGGAGCAATGTCCAACATGAGCATGAGCCAGCGACAGCAGTTCTCTTATGGAAGTGGCTATGACAGGAGGTGAGTCAGTCTTCAGCAAAAAGCAAAATCTATTAGTAGAAATGATCCTCTCCTCTTTTTCATTCCCTCATTACACTTTTCAGAGAACATAGTAGCCCCCACCTCCTGCAGCTGCTTACTAAATCAGTGGGAGTCGAGCCATTTGTAATGACTGAGTTTAGTTTTTTGCAGAAGTTAATAAGGAAGGAGTTGTCACACTTGAGAAGTCACTCAAGCTGCAGCTGATCAGCAAGTGGGTGTGTTTGACAGCTGCTTTTGGCAAGCTGCTGTGCTGTGCTGTGCTGTGCCTGGCTAAAGTAGCACTTGTGTTAGTCCTCTTGCCGTGTTCATACCTAAGCAGGTGTTGGCTTTTTCTGCATAGTGGATTTTTTGTTTATTTTAATTTTTTTCATGAGAACCGAAATCTGCATCTTCAAAATGTTATGTTTGGTTTGCTGGTGGCTAGAACTTCCTCTGGAGCTTCTAAGGTCTATACATTCTTTCTGGGCTGTAGGAACACTACATTAACAGTATGTCCCTAATGGTCCTTTGCACAGTGGTTTAGATCCACATACATCTACGTTTCTGTGAAGTAAAATCAAATCCCGCCCCTAGTCATGTGAAAGGTTTTGAGGAAAAAGTGCCATTGGATTGCTGATGTCTACACAGTAGGAGGAGGCAGTGCCTGGGTTCTGTAGTATGGTTTGCAAGGTGGAACCATAGATATTTTCCCCCGGATGCCTTCAGCAAGTTTTGCATTTTTGCTTCTTTGCTAAAGTTTCGTGATGGCATACAACATAGTGTACAGTATAAGTTAATAGTGGGGTGTTTTTCACAGTCCTAGTGTGAAGCAGTAGAGGCAGAAAAACCCCGTCTTACCATTTTATATTGCAAAAGCCACATTGATGGGGTATCAGAGAGATTGAGGGTAACAGCGAGAGGTGTTAGGTGTGAAGATTCCTTTCCATGAGAATTTATTTCTTTGGGAACTTTGGAGATAAGTGCTTTTTATAGAATGAGGTTTCCTTTGTCATTTTTTAGGTCGGATCATGGGCTGGGTTCTGAAGGCAGTATGGGACCACCTGGTCAAAGCAACATGGTGCCTTCAAACAGTGACCCAAGCATGTACTCTCCTAATCGTTACCCTGGCCAGCAAAGGTGAACATTGATTTCTCTGTTTGTAATATCTTCATTAACCAGGTTATTATAAGACCTAGAAGCTATTGAGAGTATGTAGACAGAATATGCAGTAGCCTGGTATGTTACTTTTGTTTGTGTGTTCCTATGTAGGTTTTTACATTGGGTTTATTTTGGGGGGTTGGGAGAGCTCCTTGATTTTGTATTTCCATAGATGTTAGAAGAGGAATGGTCTCTTGGTTAATTCCCTACCAATATAGGATTAGATTCTGTTGTAATCTCAAATTTTCCAGATTACTTTTAAATTGTTTGGACTTTGAGGGTTATATCATTTCATTTAGGTGGTGATCCTTCTATGGACTAATGAATCTAACATTCAAGTACTTTCTGATATATAACTGACATTTTCCTTTGCTCAGTTTCATCTCATTACTCTTACCTTGCCTCAGACCTTAGACAATTTCTATCAGCTGTGTTGTTCATAGATAATCTCTCTGCATTTATGGCCTGATTTTATGAGGTACCAAGTCAAGGCAATGAGAGTTTTGGGTTCTCAGTATCTTTGCAAGTCAAGCCCGTTAGTTCTTCTTTTCTAACAGATCACGTTCTCCAGCCCTCCCAACCTATTTTTCTCCTTTTTCCTAAATATACCTTGTCATATTTTGTCCAGAGCAATACCTCAGATTATCAGTGTATTCTTATTAGTGCAGTACAGAGACGGGCTGTTAACATCTTGGCCTGTAATACAATGCCTGTGTGTATACAGCCCGGAATTAAATTGATTTATAATTTGTCATCCTGTGAGACCTTAAGTTCTTATCCAATTTGCTGTCCACTATCAGGTGTACATATTTATCAACTTCAGTATTTTCCTTCAACTGATTATCTGCATTTTATTAAAAAATACATTCAAAGAATGTTAGGATTTAAACTTAAACCCTCACAAGTCAAGAAATACCACAGGTAAGTTTACAAGTACAAACTTAACTTTGTCCTTTTGTGCCTGTGCTTCTTGACACAGGTTTAACAGAATGATAGTCTGTTCCTTAGAAAAAAGTATAACATCTCAAAACATTTATTAAAATGTGAACTGCATGAATGTAATATCCTGTCATTTTTGTATTGTTAATGCTCATTTTTCATAATAAGCCAGCTAGAGTGAAAATTTCAGTTGAAACCATTTTTAAAAAAATATTAGTTATATTCTGTAGTCTTTATTGTTTTACAAAGTCAGGTTCTTGATGAGAACCACTCTTTAAAACTCAAGACTTTGACTTGCTGCCTTTCCTCTGTTAATCAGATGTCTTATCTACTAAAATATACCACCATGTTACACTGTTTTAACTACTTCTTACTCTGTATGGTAACTCCATTCACCATATTCCTTCTGTGACTTCTACTCATAAGTGATGAATTAGTGCAATACATGGGACTATTGTAATTCAAGAAATGTAATTGGTGTTGTACCAATCAAATATACTCTACGCAAGAAATGTATTGTTTCCATTAGATTTCCTTTCATGGCACCTGGTGTAGGGGTTGAACAGCTTTGGCAGCATGCCCCCAAAATGCATTACCATCCATTCTAAAAATAAATTATTACCACTGTACCAAGTGTCTTGGTTTGAAAATTAAATGATGTGGTGAATAGACATACAATTATTAGAGCAGTTTCATTTTTCCAGTATTTTGGGTGTTCCGTCAGTACTAAGTGTGGTTTGAATGCGTAATTCTAGGCATGAACCATATGCACAGCAGTACCCAGGACAAGGACCTCCTTCAGGACAACCAGCATATGGAGGACATCAACCTGGAATGTATCCACAGCAGCAGGTAAAAGAGAGAGACCTGACAATACTTGTAACTTTTTTCAGTAAATTTCAACCCCTCCTACCCCAAAATATGCTTCATTGCATTGAATGAAAACACATTTTTGAATGTGTATGATTTTTGCATAGATGAGCAGCAAAGTTTGAGCCAAAGTCAGCATCCATTTTAGCAGTGGGTATGCAATGACGAAGCCATGTGTTAGCGCTAATGAAAAAGCATAAATTTAAGTTCCAGTTTATGGAATGTTAAATAGTTGAAAGTTGCAAACACACAAAGCAGACAGACTGGAACAATGCAATTCCTAGGCTGGTAATGTTGCACCACCCCATTTGCAGAGACAGACAGGGAAGCTGTTGCCTGGCAGGCCAGAAGGCACTTGTCACATGCAGGAAACTAAATCCAGAAGTGTGACAGAAAGAGAAACATATAGCCCTCACAGCTGGTAGGGCACCCATAGTCCTATAATGAGTCCAGGGCTACAACAAGGCCCATACGTTAGATAATCATATACCCTGAATGTATATCAGTTGGCTTATTCCAGATACAGTATTAATATTGACATTTATTTTAAGCATTCAGACGTTTGAGCTTTTTCATAATATAGGGAACGTGCAAGCTATATTGAAAATTAAGAATATTTTTATAGACATAGAATTTGTAATATATTGGTAATACGCCGTGTATGAAATTCTGACCGCATTGAAGTCAAAAGCAAAACTCCCTTTGACTTCAGTGGGACGAACATTTCATCCTGTGTGTTAAAAAGTAGTTGGTAGTCAACTCTGTAAATAAATTTAGATCTAGTTTCCCAATATAAGCCAGATTTTAAAACAGGGCTGGTTTACACATTTGCAAACCACTTCTCACTCCTGGGCAAAGATTTACTAAATATTCAGTACAAGGAGATCTGAAGTTACAGTGTATAGAAAATGCACTTGAAGTTCAGTTTTGAAATGTTCTACCTTACTTCTTGGCTCATAATAGTTCCAATATGACTAGGTCATGAATCCCCACATTTGTGGTCATAATGAGAAACAGTGTCCTGAGTAGTTTGGTGTGATTTAATAGAGAATTTTCAAAGATCTGTACCAAAACTGTTAATGATACTTCACACTAAAATATTCAAAGAATAAGTTAATTGGGTGCTCTTAAACCTGGGATCTGCATAGAATTTACAAAAATATACATAAAATTCAAATTACCACTATTAAGAGGATATTATATCCTGTTTCCTATGCTAGATATCCTTTTCTAGAAACCTGCTAATGGAGTATTATTTTGACCTTTGCATATTTGTCACATTTTAGGGGCAAAAATTAAGGTTGGACAGATGGTGTGAAGTTGCATGGGATGAAAGTCAATGGCTGAATAACCTTAGTGGTTCCTTCTTTTTGACATGACTTTGGCATGCTGTCTTTTTCATCTGCTAAATCCCTTTTTACATCTACATGCTCCCTTGTTGTGACTGCCAGTCCCAAGCCAGCAAACGCTTAGTCCCATTGAAATGAGATTACTCACATCTTTAAAATAAGTCTATGTACAACCAGGATCTAAGTATGTAACCATCACATTTGAAATTGTGGTGTAATTTAATTTAAACAGTGTCAGTGATTCCTCTTTCTTGACTTCCACCAAGCATGCATCTTGTGGCAGTGTTCATCTCCCAGCTGAGTTTACCCCAGTATATTAAACGCTTGTTTAGGACCAAAAGCAAGCCACAGACCCTTTATTTCTGGAATAGTTTGACAGTTCAGTAGTTAAGACTGAACTGAACTTTAATGCAACACAGTGGTTATGATTTTTATATATGCCAGAGTCAAAAACTGAGAGGGTATGGTTCCTACAGCACTTCTAACTGACCCACGCTGCATACATAGAGAATTTTTTCTGATGTTAACATTGGTACATTAGTATATATTGTTCAGTGTGACTGAGTTAGGGTTTCCTGGGGAGCCATAACTTCAAATTTACCATAGATCATATATTCAAAAAATGCACATTTAATTCATATTTTTTGCCTCAAAGCACTCAGTGTAGCTTGAACCATGGAATGAACTCCCACAGGAACTAAGCACCAGCACAAACTCACCACCTTCTACCCCCAGCCTAAGACCCACTTTTTTTGACCTGCCTTCTTCAATGTAAACGCATACCAGCAGGTACAGAAACAACCCTCCCCACCCCAAACCCCCACCCC